AAATATGCCCACGATGTGGTTAGATAGTAGGGTAATTACTCAATTATTCGGTTGATTCAATTAATGTTTAACAATATAATTATATTATTGCTCATTGTAATTTTAGTTCTTGCAACACAGTTACTTTATGCTATGAAATTAGAGAGCAATTATGACGCTACCAAAAATCTTATATTCATTTTGCAATTGCTTTTTGGATTATTGAAGAGATAGGATTATTTAACAACAAGCAGAGAATTTTCTCATCCAAATTTTCTTGAAAGTGGCAGATGGCCGACATAGATGAGTTAACTAAGACGGTAGCCATTTGAAATTTAATAAGAATGTCTTATTTGTTGCATAGATCACGAAGTATACGCAATACAATACATTATCTATATATCTATATGACTTTGATGACGAATGACGATTTTTTTTTTTTTGGAAATTATACATAATCACATACCATTCTACAGAAATTCATTTTGTGAATATTTATTTTATAAGAGTGTATATTTATAAGTTCATTGATAGATAACGAAAACTATTGAATTATTCAATTAGGTTTAAAGCAAATGATGTAATTTTAATTCTTTTTAGCTATTTAATTTTGTTTAGTAAATGATGTACATTTAATTCCTTTTACTCAACTATATCTAACTTTTATTATTTTGTGTTATAGTCGTTGTGATTGCAGTATAATATATTAAAGTTAATCTAGTGTGTTATTACTGTTGTGATTTTACTCTGTTGTATGGAGTTTGTATCTACTGTGTTGTGGATATTGTGATTGCATTCTGCTGTACCAAACGGATATTTTGCAGTGCTCTACTATAAAAATTGTGATAGTGATTTGCTTTACCAAACATATATTATAGTTGTTGTGATTGCAACCGTATTTATCAAACATATTCTATTATGTTCTAGTTATCGTGATTGCATTTTGTTATATCAAAAGTTTGTTGTGTTGTAACTTGTTTGGGTCATTTTCAAACCTTAATTAAATGAGTTAGAATTTTACAAGATTTTTATTCAAATCTTATTTTAAACATTTTTTGTATCTTATTTGAATGTTGTGTGAATAGAATCATAAATTTATTTGGAATTTATTTACATATTAATTCAAACATTGTTTGGATTTTGTTCAAATAAATTTAATTGTTAGTGGGCTTCAATAAGCATTCCTATAGAATATAGGAGTGGTAATTTCCTACAAAAGAAATTTCAGAAATACTTTAAAAAAAAAGTGTGATCTCTTATTACGGCTATCATGGTCATATAAACTCAAATTTCCCTTTAATGACAGGTTTTTTTAATATTAGAAATTGGAAGAGAGAGAAAACCTAGGCCTTATCTCCTCATTTGCACCGTTACTGGACATTTCATCTAAAACATGCATCATTTAACGGAAGAGAGAAATATAGGAGGTTGACGATGCATGCTAGAATCTCCATGCTCTTCCATTTTCGTGAGAATAGAGAATATCTGAACCTGATTATGGCTCGGTGTGCTATATTAAATTTACAAGGAAAAGATAACCACTTTACCAAGGAATAATCAATGTAAATTTTCATCCTAGATACCATGCAACAATTAGCTTTGGTTTTTACAAGCAACAACATTATAAACTTTTTTCGAATTTGCAAAATTCCATTTGAAGTTTTATCACCATAACAACTTTGCTGAATAGAGTTCTTTTCCGTGAACACAATTCCATCAACCCTTTTTCATAAGTTAGTGGCCTCTTTTTGTTGAAGGGCAATACATTACTTCTTCAAATACCTCTCATTTCTGGCTAATTCTGGCTAAACTATGTAAAAGGAAAAAAAAAAAATACAAGTAATTCCTGACACAAAAGTTCATGGCTCAAGCTAATGCATGGACGTGACTTCTCCCAAACATTATTAGTTACCCTTTGTTGTACTGGAAAGAATCATTGTCCATATAAGCACAAAAAATGTAAGGAACTAAGTTTTATTATTGAGTCGAAACCAAAGCTCATTGCATACCTCAGGTTACATTATAATTACCTCATTTACTTTCGTAGTCAACAATTTCAGAAAAAACTGATTACGGTTTCAAATTGCTAGTTCATGTTGGATACAATGGATAAGGTGGTGTGTAATCTAGTGCAAGTCCTGCTTCCTTCCATAATGAGAAAAGAAAATATTGATTAACACCAAACAAGAGGATAACCATGGTCGTGTATGTTACACCCTTCTATAGGAACCAACTGAAAATATCACATCCTGCTACGTGAATTCTGTAGCCTGTGTGCTTAGGGATGAATATATAAGAATCATTATTGGAATGACTGCCATAATAACCATTGCTTCAGAAGATGAACAAAATCTTTGAATTATTGATGTTTATTTATATTATTCTTTCATCAATTGGTATAGTAAGAAACCAAAATACAAAAAATAAATTGATATGAGTATCATCATTAATCGTAAGAGTAATATCTAAAGATAACTCATCAACAGTTATATTTTTAGATTGCTTAATTTATTCATAGCTTAAAAACATGATAGAGTTAATTTCATATTTGAGCATAGTTTCAGTCTGTATCAGAAGTTCATGTTCAGAGAAAATCTTGCTCTCAATGTTACGTCTACATTGTCTAATATAGGTGCAAATTTAGATTTAATGACAACATATATAGATTCATATTATAACTGCAATTTATCTATTTCATCTAATACATCTTTAGAAAATATTGACGAGCTACAGCTTCTTTCATAAGGTGAGATTTAACCATACATGATTTTTATATTGGTGTGCATGTGACATGTTTTAGAGGAGGTGGTATTGATTTTCCTTAGGGCTATTAATCACAAGTGTGATGGTCTTAAAATAATGATTATAATATTTTAAATTCTAAAGCAATGTATAAAATCTAGTTTATGGTTTTTTGTGAAATAGATTATGATAACATAATTGTCTAGGGTAAACTGTATTTAACTTCTAAACTTTACAGAATATTCAAACACATCATAATCACTTTTTTAATATTTTTAAATTGGCCATGCAATTGATCTATTTAGTTTTGACTGAGAAATATTTTTCTTTAAATTTTCGTTCTTATCAACCTATACAGACTTCATAGTAACACTTCATTAAAATGATTGAGCTTATCCTATTAATATTAATTTAACAAGTTCAAATCTTTGGGATTCACAATTATTGTAATTTTTCAAGAAAAAAAAAATCATCAGTCTACTCTGAAAATTCTTAAAGATTCTTCTCTCCTATCAAGCCTAGATTTATATATTCATAGTAATGTTGCGATTGCCAAGATTTATAACATATACAACTTCATTTAACTTGTATCATTTATTATTTCTCTCTTGACCTAGCTATAATGGCCCACTTTTAGTTGATATGATGATACAACCATAAGCCTTAATATGTAAGATTTAGAAATGCATATTCTTAAAGGCAACCAAATAAACAAGAACTCATCTATTTAATAAATTCAAAAACATTTGAGATACATGCCACGTATTAATTTAATTTTTACTCAAGTCAGAGAAATCTCGTGAAAGATTGAGAACCACCAAAAACTATAAGTAGATTAATATTTACACTGCAAAAAGAAACCTAATTGTACTGAATTTTACTAAATCAAACTTGGTTGCAAAACCAATATAGAATTTTATAGAAGAGAAGAAGGTAAGAGATCACCAATACAAAAAGTATAGGCTTCATGCCAGTACAAGGACATTACCATAGAAATTGACGTTCTTCTTTGCACTGCTCTCGAATGAGTCATCTTTCAGCCAAACATTCAAGATTGAGAAAAATTAGAAGCTTCTATTAATTCATATGTAAAATTCATCACATGTCCAAATTATATTTATGAGCACCTCATCATTCAAAGTCAGCAATTTTGTAGGATTGATTGTAATTCAAAATCATTAGTCCATATTGGATATGGTGGTGAATAGGGTGACCGAAATCTGGTGCATGTCCCAATTTCTTCCAATATCTAAAAAAAAATGATGATGAAGTATAAGGTGCCTTGGTTCCATATAATATTGCAGCCAATTATAAGATTCAACTAGAACCATCACAACTTCAAAAATTACTCATCACATGCGCTTCAGACATACATAACTACTAAAATAGCCATAGAAATTGAAGCTATAGATAGAGGGAGAACTAGGTTTTCAAGTGAGAGATGGAAAAGGTCTATATTAAATATAGCTACATCAAGATTTTGTAAAGTCTAATGGGACGCAAGAGCTACCCCCTGCCTCTAGTTCTACCCTCGATTATAAGAAATACTGCAACAACAGCCATTGCCAAAAGAACAAATCTAATACAAATAAACTAACTATAAAATAGAGAAGGCTATTGCCAGTAATGTTTGTCCTTAAAATCAGAAATACTATTCCAAACGAGAGATTACCGGACCATGTTGAGTCATAAAAGAAAGAACACATCTTATTTATATAGGAGCATCATTGTAGGCATATTGTAGACAAATTGATATTCAATAACTACCAAATATTAAAATTAAACTGAACTTGCTTAGATCATTTATTTGCTCAATTTTTTTTGATGAATTTAAAATAGCAGATCTCTAGGTTTGTAGTGTTGAACTAATGTAGCATGAATTGATGATTCTAATTTTTTAAATGCGTTTCATATTCAGGTTTTCTTTCTCCTTACATTACAAATTTAAACGAGCATGAAAAATGTGCATATGGGATGTTCTATTTCATAGTTTGGATCACCATTATTTTCTTGAGAAGATTAATAGCTTTTAGTATGTTTCCACCATAAGCTTCCAAAATACGTAACTGATAAAATTATTGGAGAACTTGGTATTTTGATTAAATCAATGTTAAAAATTTTCCAATCAGGAAAATCAAATTTCAAACATTTGGAGGTTAAATTTAAATTTACTCAACTACCTTCAGAGTTTTTTTGTCCATTTTGAAATTGTATTTCAAGTAGAATAATCATTAGAAGGTTGTTGCAAATATCCTCATCAATAAATTGAAACTCTACAGGATCTGCGTGAGATACTGATAAAGCTAAGGGAAGAGCAGTACTATTGCCTATACTGTGGATTTCAGGTTAGCGTCGTCTTAACTATCATGTGAACTTGTCAATACTTTCGCTCCTCTACTAGAAAATTGTTTTCATATATTCGTTCATGAAAATGCTGAACCATGCAGCTTGCTGCCAGCTAACATTATGATTAAGTAGATCATTTTTCTGTGACATAACCAAAGCCCACTCAGGTTTGGCATTTGGGGCAATGAATGTTAAAACTCATGCTTGTAAATAATACCTTCTGTTAGCTTTAATAACAATCTCCAACTCACAGCTTTAAATGGTGTGGGCGTGGATGGATGGCATCCAAAACATATTAAAATGTCATTGCCATTGTTCTGTTCTTCCTTATCCTCGGTTCCTTTTCTTTCCTTCCCTGAATCTGCCATTTTTACATGGTATCAGAGCTAGAAAAGGAAGCTAGCATTGACTGGAATTCCAGTGTATCTAATGGAGGCCTTATGATAAACTGTGGAGCTTTCCTTTCCTTTTCCTATGAGCTTTTCTTCTGGATTTTAAATTCGGGGGCTTCTTTTGGATGGACAACTTGGATTTGCTCCCTATAGCAACAGAGAAAATGTTCAGAGAACTAGAGCAAGGAATATATTCTTTCAATTTCCGTTGATTGCTGTTAGGGTTACAATCAAGTATGGTTTAACTTGAGCTGAATTCAACTTGAAATAAAAATAAAAAAATAAAAAAATTTCTACGCTAGCCAGGTTAGAAATAAATTGAATAATGATTGGTTCCGAGCTGATCTTTTAGTTGAGTAATGCAAAGTTTAGTAAAATTCAGAAGTATTTTTTTATATTTTGTGATGGATTATATCTATGTTGGTGTTTATACTTAAACTTTGTTCAAAATTTATATATAATATGTGTGTGCATGAAATATAAGTATATTTATATATTGCATATTTGTTGTAAATATATAACTGCATATATAAGTAAAAAGAGAGAAATTTGATCATCTTTGAGTCAAAGTAAACCGATTTCAATTTCAATCTGATTTAAATTCTAGCGAGTTCCAATTTTTGAAGAAAATTGCTAGCCTTATTTGTTGCATAGAAAACACCATGGCCTCAGGTTTGCAATAGGCATCCTCTTTCTTAATTAGCATCATTTATTCCAGCGTTTAAAGACAACTTGTGCCCAGATCTCAAAGTAACTACCCTTTATAGGCGAGTCTTGGTGAAATTTTTATTAATGGGCATTGACCCATGGAACCTATCACCGACATCCCCCCCTGTCCGGCGTCTGCCAAAAAAAAAAGTCATTTGGGAGCCCTTTAAAAAGGGTTCTAATGGTAAAGAAGTACTGGGGCTATCATTTTGAATCATGAGTATCATGTGTAGTTTTCTCGGTACCAATTGTTGATTGGAGGAATTAAAGCCGCCCTCCTTGAAGAAATTGTCGCTTAAATATTCAAAAGTGAAATGAGAAACTCTCAAAAGAAATAATTGCTCTAAAAAGTTGTTCTATTCATTAATGATTTGAGTTTATATAGAGCCTTACAAATTTCTTACAAATAAAACCATAGACTTCTATATTTTCTATTTACCGATAGGACCCTAAACTAGATACAAATCTCAACACCCTCCCTCGAGATGGTCAAAAGAGATCTACTAAGCTCATGTTGTCTTATAACCTGGACAAATCTAATAAGCTAAGTTCTTTGGTGAGGCAATCAACCACTTGATCTCCCCAGTGGTTATATGACTTAGCGCCATTAGTTTGTTATTCAACTTTTTCTTGATGAAGAACCTATCAATCTCTACATGTTTGGTTCTATCCTGTTGAATGTTGGCAATGTTGATTGATGACTTGTTGTGCCACAACTTCATTTGAGATCCTTGATGTATCTTGAGCTCTACTAACAAGGCTCTTAGCCACTTCATCTCAACAACTCTTAAGGCTGTGACTCTATACTCTGCTTTTGTTGTTGACCTCACTACTACTGACTGTTTCTTGCTCTTCCAAGAGACCAAGTTGTATGCTATGAAAATGCAGTATCCTGATGTGAATCTTTTGTCATCAGCAAAACTTGCCCAGTTAGAATCATAATAGTCCTCAGTGCTTACATGCCCATTATACTTAAAGATCAACTCATTCTTTGATGCACTGTTCAAGTATCTCAGAACCTGATATATTGTGTCCATATGACCCTTCCTTGGATTATGCATGTAGCGGCTCACCACACTCTACAAATGAGATGTCGGGATGAGTGCAACTTAGATAGAGTAGACGGCTCACCAATCTATGGTCCTCTTACGATCAACTGGCTCTCCTGTCTCTGCACTCAGCTTGGCCTTTTGATTAATTGGAGAAACTGCAGGCTTGCGTCCCAAAATGTTTGTTTTCGTGAGGAGATCCTGTATACACTTCCTCTGAGACAAGATCGTTCCCTCTGGTCCATAAGACACTTTAATCCCAAGGAAGTATATGAGTTGTCCAAGTTCCTTCACCTCAAATTTTTTGTCTAATCTTATCTTTAGCCGGGCAATCTCTATCTCATCATCATCTTTAGCCGGGCAATCTCTATCTCATCATCATCAGTGTCAATCATATCATCAACCTACACAACAAACATGGTGGTGTGATCTCCATTTTGTGGAAATAACACCGCTGGTTAGCATTTATCTGCTGATATTTCAAGCTCACCATAATCTTTTTAAACTTGTTAAACTAGGCTCAAGGAAATCGCTTCAAGTCATAAAGCGACTTTCTGAGCTTGCACACCTTGCCTACTGTTTGACCTGTGTCGAATCCTGTTGGTATCTCCATATACATGCTCTTCAGTAACTCACCATATTGAGTTGGTGTAACATCCACCCACCATTCACTGGCAAAGAAACCAGTCCTCATTGTTCATATTTGCTACCGGTGCAAATGTCTCGTCATAATCAATGTCATACAACTGACTATACCCATTCGGTACCAATCATGCCTTGTAACGCTCCACTTTTTTCTGGATTTTGTTTCATTTTGAAGATCCACTTGCACCAATTGCTCTTTTTCCCGCTGGTTGTGACATTATCTCCCATGTTTAGTTTTTATTTAGAGCCTCAAGCTCTTCATGTATAACTGTTTTCCACTCCACGTTAGCTACCTAACACTTGGGTGTAGAGATAATGTCCAAAGATGCAATAGGTGCTCAATGTACATGTAATATGTTCGAGTATGAGACAAACTAAACAATGTCATGTGAAAAACCAAAACGATGAGGATGCCTCGCATTGCTACGAGGATCCTTAAAGTCATGGAGTTGGAAGAAGGAAGAGGAATCATGCATCTGTGTAATCTAGGTCTGAGGCGGACGATGTAAATGTATCAAGAGTCATGGTAGATCGAGATAAAGGACTTGTTGGCATCAATAGCGCTACAGGCACTGTTCACTCATTTTGCTTTTTCCTCCTTGTATACACCCTCAGCTCCCTTTGAGCATGAATCCAACCACCTCCAAGTTCAATCTCCTCATTTTCTGGCTTTCAGTCAATTCTTCCCACATCATAAGACAAGGTTTTGCTCCCACATATACTAACTCTCACTATCACTACTCTCCCCCTCTTGTCTCATAGCTCCAATATCTTGCGAGTCACGAAATGATGAGGTCACTTCTAAGGTGTAGTACATTTCAAGCGCTCTAAATGACACATCCCTGATCACAAACAGTCTCTTCTATATCGGGCTTCAACAAACATACCCTTTTTGGGTAGTAAAATAACTCACAAAAGTACACTTCACAGCTTTGAGATTCAGCTTCCCTTCTGATTGTCTGTTGTGCTTTATAAAACATATACAGTCAAATGCACTCAATGGGTGAATCTCACCATTATCTTGTTTTAACATCTAACATTAAAACTTTCAATCTAACACTCTCGAGGGCATTTATTGATCAATTGAGTAGCTGTCAAAACTATTTTCCCCCACAAGAGCTTTAGGACATTTATCGTGATAATCATGCTTCGGGTTACTTCTAGAAGGTGTCCATTCTTCATCATTGCTACTCAATTTTGTGTTAGTGTTTGTGAAAATGTGATTTCTGATAAATATTTACCAAATGCCTTGTTAGTACTTTGTCCATTTTTCATATCTCAAAACCTACACTACTACACCATACTAAGTTTCGATTGCCTTGTGGAAATCTTTAAAGTAAGCAAACACATCACTCTTAGTTTTCATCAGATATAACCAAGTAACATAATGAAAATAATCAATAGAAGTAACAAAATTTTGATAACCATTTGTCGTAGAAGAAGGTTCCCAAATATCAAAATGTATCAAATAAAAAACACAAAAACTTCTATCCATAAAACTAATATAAGAGCTCCTAGGAAGCTTGCCAAACTTACAAGCATCACATCTAAGTTTTTGTTTATTTATCTTTCATACAAGAACATATACAATAGACTCAATAAACTAAAACAAGAGTGTCCTATGTGTTTATGATGGAGTAGCAAGTGAGTCATCTTCTCTCTATCCAAGCACCAAATTCCATTATTTAACGTTCCAGTCCCAAGTGTCAAATTAGTCTTTTTCTCTTGAAGGATCGTCTTAGGAATATCAAATGAAGGAATAAATTTTAGTTGGAGAATAATGATACTAATGGATAAAAAAAAGGTTTACTGGAAAGGAAGGTGCATGTAAAACATTGGACAAAGTCATAAAATCAGTACACCTCACTGTGCCCTTATCAACTACAGGCTATGTACCTTATCAACTACAGGCTATGTCAACTACAGGCTATGTATACCATCAATAGTTTGGATGCTCTTTGGAATTGCTAAGTGAGTATTAGAACATAACTATCTAGCAATACCTATCACATGTCGAGATGCACCGGAATCTACTATTCATTCTTGTGATATTATGATAGAAATAAGGCAAGAGTATATGTAGCACCAGTATTTTTGTTGGGGTGAGCATAAGTAGCATTGATATCCCTTGTTGACGACGAAGTGGATGTATCTTTAATCGTATTACCTGCTGCTTTCTGCTTCCTCTTTAATATCTCTAGAAAC